CAACCTTCCTTCTGAAGACTGGCTGGTGGGGTTGAACCACCAGCCTTCTGGTTAGCAGTCAGATGCCTTAGACATTGTGTTACCAGAGCTCTTAGATTACTGGATGGGACCATGCAAATACTGTGTGTGGAACTCTGATGTTGGGATTGGTTAGTTTTGTCACTATGCCAGGCTTAAAAATGAGCCCTCCTTGTGGCAGAAAGGGGAATGTCACTGCCATCAAGAGAGCTGGAGGTGAAGTGGAGCATGTCCTTGGGCCCTAGATCCCTGCACTGGACCTCCTTGGCATAGATGCCTGGCAGAGAGAGAGACACCCCAGCAGAGAGATGGTGACGGTGGAACCAAGAGCAGAGACAGAGTGGCAGGCTTACCTGGCCCACAGAGCAAGAAAGCTGAGAGCCTTTGGGCAGGACGCTTGTTGGCAGAGTGCGGTGCATGTGCGTGTACCTATTGGCAGAGTTAAAAGAGCTTTGTACCACTTGCCTGAGAAGGGCAGAGGCCAGGCCCAGAGGCCAAGGGCCGAGGAGGCGAGCCTGAGGGCATAGCAGAGGGGAGACTGTCCTGATTGAAGAATTGTTTTCTTGAGTGTGTTCCTGAACCTGAATTGTAGCCTATTACTTCCTTAATGAAACCCGAAATTGTGAGTATTGTCTATGAGTTCTTGTGTGCACTGCAATGAATTATTGAACCCAGCATAGAAGTAATGAGTGTCGTGGGAGGGGTGGTTGGTGTCAGAATTGGTAAAAGGCTGGAGGGTGGCTGCGTGCATGTCTGGCTTCATAGGAATAAGCCTTGGGCTGTTGCTGGTGATTCTCTTTCCCCCTCATGAGATTAGAGGAGGTCAGAGGATGCCACCTCCAGGTCGTTATGGCAAAGAGATATGGGCCTTTAAATGGATGGGCAGGACTTGGCTGGTCATTGACTAAGACTTACACCTGAAGGGAATTCACAAAACATATCTTAAAAGTTCAACTTTAAACCAGGAAAAGGAAGGTAAACCTATCATGTCAGTTTTTTAGTATGCTGTTATGTCTCTCGGGTTGGGAAAAATTAATGTTTTAAGCATGGTTGAGTTATCAGAGCATATAAATGAATGCCAAAGAGCCAAATTTACATTGTTTTGCTGGGTTTTGTTTTAGTCCTAATTAGTAATTACTTAATTACTTGCTATATATTGACATTGTGAAACATGAGCTTTTAGTTCTGCCTCTTTGTTTTTGGTATGCTAATTTGTCTTGTTTTAATTATGTAAAGCATAATTATAGAAAAAATTCCAGAGTTCTCTATTGACAGTAAATGCACTCATTAAATACGCTTTTTATACACTTAGGGCCTGTCCCATAGAGAGCTCTCTTTTTTTAAAATTTTTAATATATTGAAGTTATTATGTTTTTAAGATTCATTGTCTGGAACTCATCAGATTAAGTTTTAACAAATCATGGTAATATACAATAATCTTTAGAACATTAATATCAGAGGGTGGGAATTATTTTTGCTATATTACCATGTCTAAACATATCAAACTAAATGATTCCTAAACTTAGTGTTTAGCCTTTTTTCAATATAAGCATTTCAGCTATGTATAGTTCTGTCTGATTTATTACAAGTTTCCTAACCCTGCAGATTTCAGGAGCCAGATATCTCACAGGCTAGCAGAGGATGTTTGCAGCTTCACAGAAAGAAGACCATTTGGTCATTCTCTCATTCATTTACTTACCAAGTATGTATTATTCACCTACTGTGTGCTAGCGTACTGCCTAAGGCACTTGACTGGTAACCAGAAGGCTGGCGGTTCAAACCCACCAGCCACTCCTCAGAAGGAAGATTGACCAATCTACTTCCATAGTGATACTGCCTCAGAAACCCAAGGAGGGGTCGCTATGAGTTGGGTCCAACTGGACAGCCTAGAACAACAACAACAACAGTGTGCCAGGTGAAGGAGCTTTGGTGTCACAGTGCCTAAGGCATTTGGCTGCTAACCAGAAGGTTGGTGGTTCAAACCCACTAGCCACTCTGTAGAAGCCAGACTAATCTACTTCTGTGAGGATTTACTGCCTCAGAAACCTGAAGGAGGTCGCTATGAGTCGGAATTGACACGATAGCAGTGAGTTTGTGTGTGTGTGTGTGTATGTGTGTGTTTTTTAATGTGCTAGGTGAGGAACCCTCTTGGTACAGTGGTCAGGTACTTGGTTGCTAACCAAACGGTCAGCAGCAGCTTTTTAAACCCACCAGCCCCTCCGTGGGAGAAAGAGGTGGCAGTCTGTTTCTGTAAAGATCAAAGGCTTGGAAACCCTGTAAATGACCCAGTTCTGTTCCATCCTGTAGCGTTGCTATGAGTCAGAATCAACTCAGTGGCAGTGAGTTTGGTTTTTTTGGTTTGGTGGGAACACAAACAAGTTAAGCTCTCAACTGCTAACCAAGAGGTTTGGTGGTTCAGGTCCACTGAGCGGCACCTTGGAAGAAAGGCCTGTTGATCCATTTCTGAAAAGACACTGACTTGGAAACTCTTTGGAGTGCAGTTCTGCCTGCACACGGGGGCCTGCTTTGAGTCAGACCTGCTTGACCGCATCTGGTGCTTAATCTATGCGCGTATACCTAAACATTCCTTTTTCTATTAAAAAAATTACCAAGACAAAAACCAAAAGAACAGACCACAAAGAGAACAGAATAGCTTTTGGTGCTAGGTAGATCATAGCAGGAGAGCTAGGTAGCTAAGGAACAGCTGGGGCCTGTGTTGTTTGGGCGGGTAACCTGTGTATATAAGGCTGCAATGCAGGGAGGTGTAAGTGCTATGAAGCATGCACAAGATGCCCTCTTGACACAACGGCAGGACCAGTCAGCAGGCTGTGTCCTTGGCCCAGTGTCTTCTCTCTGGCTTCTGGATGTGGCTTTCCTTCTTCCTGTCAGCTGCCTGAGTGAGGCCAGGGGGGAGTGTTAGCTAAACCCACTGCCATCAAGTCAATTCCAACTCATCGTGACCCGCATTGGGTTTCTGAGGCTGTAAATCTTTACAGAAGTAGATCGCCCTGTCTTCTTTCCACGGAATGGCTGGTGGGTTTGAAGCGCCAACCCTCTGGTTAGCAGTCAGATGCCTTAGGCACTGCGCCACCAGAGCTCCTTGGGGAGGGTGTTAGGAGAAGACAGTCAGCTGCAGTTGAGCCGGAGGCGGAACTCAGGAGTTCTCAGGGCAGAAGCTCCCTCAGCACCTATTGGCCACACCTGTACATAGCTGAGGGCGAGTTGCAGAATGTCAGGGACTGTGTTGGAGCCCCCTGAGCTGAGAGGTAATGCAGGGAGAAGGTGATCTACATTAGCAATGATGGCCACTCTTTCTTAACTTTTTGTTGTGACTTGGGTGAAAGTTTACAGAGCAAATTGCTTTTCTATCCAACAATTCCTCCACGTTTTGTTTGGTGAGACTGATTGTAATCCCCACAACATGCAGCCCTCCTCCCACTTCCCCCATGTCTGCTGTTTCCATTCGTTCTTCTTCCCTGTCCTTCCTGTCTTCAGAGCTTCGTCCCTGGGCTGATGCTGCCATTTTGATCTCCTGTGGCTGACCGTTTGAGGCATGCACACCTCCCTGGCTGCCATTTCGATCTCCCATGGTTGACTGTTCTAAGGCGTGCACACCTCCCTGGGGGTGGTGAACCCCCCACAGGCCTATCATTTGGCTGAAAGATGAGCCGGGGAGTGAGTTCAGTTCCAGGCTTGAAGCTTGTCTAAGACTGACGTTCACTCAGGACAGTAATTGGACTCATACTTGTGGCTCAGCTTTCAGCCAAACAATAGGTCTACAAGCTGATCAACTACACCAGGAAGATGCACTCCTTACAGTGGTCAGCCACGGAGATCAGAAGGGCAGCATTTGCCCTGGCAGAAAGGTAGGGAGGCAGAGATGCATAGGTAAGAAGGCACGGGAGGAATTGGGAGGAGAGCTCTTACATTGTGCAGAACACCATCAGTGTCAAATAACATCAGTGTCAAATAACAAGATGTAGTTGAACTGTTGCATGTAAAATGACTCTGCTTTGTGAAACTGCACCCAAATCACAGTAAAAGGTTTAAAAAAATGATATTCATTCTCAGTGATTATATCTGTCCCCCTCCACTGTTAGCGCCTAAGGCATTTGACTGCTAACCAGAAGATTGGCAGTTCAAACCCATCAGCTGCTTCACGGAAGGAAGGTTGGGCAAACTACTTCCGTAAAGATTTACTGCCTTGGAAACCCACCGGGGGGTCGCTGTGGGTTGGAATTGACTCACAGGAAGTGAGTTTGGTTTTTATGTGGTATGTTGTTGTTGTTGTTATGTGCCGTCGAGTCGGCCCCGACTCATAGCGACCCCTCCTTGGGTTTCCGAGGCAGTATCACTACGGAAGTAGGATTGCCCAACCTTCCTTCCGAGGAGTGGCTGGTGGGTTTGAACCGCCAGCCTTCTGGTTAGCAGTCAAGTGCTTTACTCCTGATTAAATCTCAGTATTTCATTATCATGTCTTTCATCTCTAAATACTTATCTTCATAATAATGGGGAGGAAGTTTGAAGAGAGCTGTTACATTGTGGGGAATTGCAGTCAATGTCATGAAGCAAAATATGTATGAACTACTGCATGGAAAATGAATTTGCTCTGTAAACTTTGACCCAAATCACCATAAAAATTAAAAAAAAAAACAAAACAAACTTATCTTCATAGGTCAGAGTTGAGTATATGCTGGAATGTATGCAGAAATGCAAACTATTCCAAGATCAGAGTTACATTAACACATTATTTGTGAAATTACAAGCCATGGTTGCCCTCGGTTTCTATCCCCAGACCTTCACAGGGTTTACAGTGACATGGCACTCTTGTCTACCACAGGGGGCCTGCTGGGATATCCATTCATTGACAGTCTGCCCTTTTAGATGGATCTGATGAATGGAGCACAGGTGTGAGGTGGGACATTTAGCTTCCTGATTCTCCAAGGTGTCTGAGCTCATCTTACTGATCTTTCTTGAACTAGATGCTTTCTGATGCAGCACCTGGAAAACTGAGAATTGTCCATGGAGATGTTTTGACATTTAATATAGAAAAGACTTTTCCAGAAAGTCTTAAAAGACAGTGGGAGGATGGTAAGTGCCTACACAGTGGCTTTTCAATTTCCTTTTGTAATTGGTGGGATTAAGTATTTATGTAAAAGTTTTTCTGAGTAGAATTAAATAGGAAATGTGCATGGTAATTTTTTTTGTTTTTCTACTTTCTTCCAAGTATGAACTCTAGTGATTTTTTTCTTCATTCAGATGTATTTGCTTAGCATTTCAAATGTTTCGGGTTCTGTGCAAGTAAATTATTCTCTGACACCCATAAGTGATAGGGGAGACTGTGAAGTATTGTGAAGTATTGCTTTTTCCAATGGTGAGAAGTGTCTTCATAAACCAAGCCACACCCAGCCTGAAAACCTTTCTTTCCACTGTCTCTCACCCTCAGTGGCCAGTCAAGGCACTCTTCCTTCATGGACAGTGTTGATGGGGGACCCGTTAGTGGCAGCCCTTTGGGATACAGGCATGCAGCGAGTCTGTCTCTTGCCTGTGAAAAGTTCTCAGAACCAATAGAGGCAACATGTGATGGCCTCTCATCTGGCTGCCAGCACATCTCTCGCCCCCCCAGCCAGGCTCCTTCAGAGCGGTCTGCACCCGCTGCCCCCATCTGCAGGCACACCCTTTTCTCCTCAGCAGTCTGCACCAGCCACGCCTCCAGCACCATGACCTGCTCAGGGTGTGTCACCATCACCAACTGGGGTTCTCATAGCCCTTCTGACTGTTGGCCACTCTTCCTCAAGATCCCTCTGCTCTTGTCTTCCCTGGCCCCAGGCCCTCCTCTTTTCCTTTCACGTCGTTGTGAGCTTTTTCTGACTGATCATGGCTGCTGGTTATCTGCCTCCACCTCTTACCTGTTGTCGTTTCTCATAGCTTCCTTTTCGGGCACCTTCTCTTCTCTGGCTGCACGTTTGCCTGGACTACTACCCCAGTCCTGTGCGTCCCTTTGCCACCTGTACACTGCTGGCAAGGAGCCCTGGTGACACAACATCTTAGCACTTTCTGCTAACCAGAGGTTGGCAGTTCAAACCCACCCGGTGGCTCCGTGGGAGAAAGACCTAGTGATGTGCTTAAGATTATTGCCAGGAAAACCCTATGGGCAGTTCTCTGTCACGTGGGGTCCCTGTGAGTCAGAATTGACTTGACTTTACACAACAACAGCAACATACTGCTGGAACTCACATCTTTACAGCAAGACTACACCCCTTCCTGAGCATCAGACCCTTGGGCACACTTTACACTCATCACGTCCAAATCAAATCTCTTTTTTTCAAACCAACCCCTTTTCATAAATTTTTCCTAAGCCAGAAATCTGAGGACTTTCACTGAGTGGCTGAACACTAGTTAGGTAGACTATTTTTTCTTAATAATTCAGGCCTGATGGTGAGAAGACATTGCTTTTGAAGAAAGAATGGACTAAAAAATACACTGCCACATCTTTTTATATGTTTTTGTTTGATGCTGTTACTCTCCAGTGTGATTTTAGTCTTAACTGAAATTGTATTCAGAATGTGTTGGTGAAACCACTTGCTCTGGTTTTCCCCTTGGCATACAGATCCACCAAACATCCATATTATTGGAAACCTGCCTTTCAGCGTGTCAACTCCACTGATCATCAAGTGGCTTGAGAACGTCTCCCATCGAGATGGGCCCTTTGTTTACGGCAGAACCCAGATGACTTTGACTTTTCAGAAGGAAGTGGCAGAGGTAAGCTTTAACAGTTTTTCTGGCTATTTTGTCATATGATTAAATTCTAAAGCAAAAACGCACTGTGTTTTTTATCTCAGACTGTGGTTTCTAAGTTAATACTTCATTACACACACAGACCAACCCACCAGGTACTCAGCCGTGAAGTACACATGCAGTGACGATGACAGGTCACTGCCCTGAGCTCTGCAGGGACAACGTGAATGAAGGGCTGTCAGCCCAGAAGGCCGGGCAGTGAATAGAGGGAAGCCCCTGCCACAGAAGGGACTGGAGAAGATGAAAAGTGGGTGCTGCTGTGGATGTCTGTTGTTATGTGCTTTGAGTCAGTTCTGGCTCGTAGTGACCCCGTGTGCAACAGAACAGAACCCTGCCCGGGCCTGCACCGTCCTCCTGATCAGTGCTGTGCTTGAGCCCATCATTGCAGCCGCTGCGTCAGTCTGTCTCATCGAGGGGCTTCCTCTTTTTCGCTGACCCTCTTCTTTACCAAGCATGATGTCTTTCTCTAGAGACTGGTCCCTCCTGACAACATGACCCAAGTATGAGGGACAAAGTCTCGCCATCTTGTGTCTAAGGAGCACTTTGGCTTTACTTCTTCAGGTTTGTTCGTTCCTCTGGCAGTCCATAGTGTTTTTTGTGTTCTTCGCCAACACCATAATTCAGATGCATCAGCTCTTCTTCAGTCTTCCTTAGTCACTGGCCAGCTTTTGCTTGCATATGAGGCAATTGCAGATACCATGGCTTGGGTCAGGTACACCTTAGTCCTCAAAGTGACATCTTTGCCCTTTAACACTTTAAAGAGGTCTGTGTGATGCTGGCAATACAGTAATAAAAATAAATTGAGCCTGGAAGTGAACTCACCCCTGGGGCTCAACTTTCACCCAAACAGTAGACAGGGGTCTGAGGTGAACAGTAACACCAGTGAGGTATATACTCCTTCGAACCATCAATCATTCAAGACCAAAATGGCAGCATTTGCGTGAGAACAAAGTTCAGAAGGCAGAAAGGGCTAGGAAAGGAGGACAAATGGAAACAGAAAATACTAGGAGGAGTGGAATGAGTGGTCTCATGTTGTAGGAATGGCAGTCAGTGGCATGAGATAAAATGTGGATGAGTTGTTGGATGGAAAACTGACTTGCTCTGTCAACCTTTACCCAAATCATAATAAAAAGTTAAGTAAATAAGCACTGAAATGTGATATGTTAAAATTGATACTTTGCAGTAATATGATAGTTAAGGAATGTGATAATCCATTTGGAGAAGAAAGGAGCTGGGCCTCATGATTCAGTATTTAGATTTCCATGTACTCCCCCACCCCAGCCAGGCCTGCTGTGCTTGGTGTCCCCATGGTAGGAGTTCTGGTTCACTCTAGGAAGCAAACCTTTTTAGTTGGGCAGGGACAGATTTAGAGCTGTGGAAGTTTAAAGAGGGGATCTGTAGACTATATATACTAAAAAGAAGAAAGTTTTATTATGGCATAAAAGAATATGTAGTGTAAAGCCTGTGTGCCTCCCTGGATGGCTGCGGTGTAGTAAATTACCTGGTATGGCTTTTCTAGCCATAAGTCTTTGTAAACTCTGTGGTGGAATTTGCTGTGATGGACTGAGGAGCTCCTGATTGTAAAAGTTATCTACCTGGGTTATTTTTGTTGAGAGAGTGGCACAAAGCAATGTTCTGGGAAGTTCGCGCTTTCTCTCAGGTACTTAGAAGTCAGATGTTATGATTGGTTAGTTTGGCCACTCTGTCAGGCTCAAAAGGAGGCCTCCTAGAGACAGAAGTCTCTGACTGCTGGCTGAGAAAGACATGTTGCTGAGAGAAACGCACTCCTGAGAGACATGTGCTCCTGAGAGATACACGCTCCTGAGAGACATGCGCTGCTGGGAAGGAGATGCAAGAGACATACATTGCTGAGAGAGATACTGAAAGACATACACTGCTAGGAGAGAGACTGTGAGAGACAGACTGTTGGCTGAGAGACGGCAGGCTGAGAGAGACTAAGCATTGTTTCTGAACTTAAATTGTAACCTGGTGCTTCCCTATTAAACCCCATAATCTGTGAGTTCTGTGTGGCCACTGCAGCAAATTATCGAACCCAGCAGAAAGGTGGTGGGTGCTGCAGGAGGAACGGTTGGTGTCAGGGTTGATGAAAGGGCTGGAGGGAGGCAGCATGTCTGGCCTCACAGGAATAGGCCTTGGGCTGTTGATGGTGATTCTGTCTTCCTCTTGTGCAGTTAGAGTAGGTCAGAAGATATGGCCTCCCTGCCCCTTTGGCAGTCGCCCAAACAATTAAACACACAGCTACTAACCCAAAGGTTAGCAGTTCACGTCCACCCAGAAGCATTTTAGAAGACGGTCACACCATCTGCCTCTGAAAGCCACAGCCATGAAAACCCTGTGGAGCTCAGTGCATCTCTGCAACACACAGGGCTGTCATGAATTGCAGTCAGTTCTGAGGCACCTGACTTGGTTTAATGTATATGCATATAACCTTATGAAAAGAACACAGGTGAACACCCAGGTGAAGAGTAAAATCACCAGTATCTGACACCCCTTATAGTCTTGCTATGATTGCATCTCCTATTCACCCCTGATGAGTATGTAATCAGTACTGTGAATTTTGGATTTACTATTCCCTTGTACAAGTTGCTCTGAAGGTGCAGTGCTTGTGGTATTTGACCGCTAACCAGAAGGCTGGCAGTTCATACCCATAGCCACTCCTTGGAAGGAAGATGGGACCATCTGCTTCCATAAAGAGTTACCACCTTGGAAACCAAATGGGGGTCGCTTTGAGTTGGAATCAACTAGAGGGCAGTGGGGTTCCCTTGTATGGTTTTATCTCATGGATTCATAGCTATATAATTACTGGGCCCATTTGATCTTTATACAGACAGATTCAGACAGTACGGATTCTTTTTATCCTGAACATTATTGAGAGATTTGCTCATGTCGCTCATAGCTGTAGTCTGTTTATTTACACTGCTGGGTACTACCTGTCGTCTGAATATGTCACACTCTATCGTCCATTCTCCCATTGGGCACCCTGAGCCATTTTCAGCTTTTTGTCATTATGACCAGCACTCCTGTGAACATTGTTTTGGCTCTGTCAGCTGGGGCACAAGGCAGGATTTCTCTTCTGGCACACACCCAGCAGTGGGAACGCAGTGACCAGTGTGCATGTTGGCACCCCGCTGGCTGATGCTAACTTGTTTTCTGAAGTCCTCGGCATTTATAGCCATTGCATCAGCAGCATATGTGAGCTGATCGTATTCCACATTCCTGCAAATACTGCTGTCACTGGGGTGGCACATTTTTGTTAATGTGGGAATAGTGGTAGATCAGTGTGGTTTTATTTGGCTTTCACTGATTTTTAATGAAGTTGAACATCATGTTAGGTTTATTGGCCTTTCAGTGACCCCTTTTGTGAAATGCTTGATGCTGGCCCTGCGTTCTATCATGTTGCTGCTCTTTTTCTCACTGGTTTACATACTCTGAGTCTTTTACTGAACACGTTGCAGATTTCTTCCTGTACTTTGACATGGTATCTTGGTCTTTCTACAGTGTCTTTGGAGAGCAGGTTGCTTAAGGTTATGGTTTTGCTTTTTTGTGTATTGGTGAGGAAATCCGTCCATGTCTGGAGGTCATGAAGAGTTCTGTGTTACCTTCCAGAAGCCTTACTATTTGCTTTTCTTTCCTTCTCCCTCCTCCCTTCTTTTCAGTACTCTGCCCCACAGATCCTGGCTGCCTCAGTCTCCTGGACAGAGCCCTGGTGGTGTAATGGTTAAGCACTGGCCGCTAACCAAAAGGTCAGCAGTTTGAACCAACCAAGTGGTTCCTCCAGAGAAGAGACCTTGTGATCTGCTCCTGTAGAGATTACAGCCTAGGAAACCCTCAGGGGCAGTTCTGCTCTGCCACACAAGGTGGCCATGAGTCAGAATTCCTTCAGTGCAGTTCAACTTCTTCCTTCAGTATCATTTGTTCTTGATCATATGCCACCTCCTGAAATGGATGAACATCGACCAATTCTTTTTGGTACAGTGACTCTGTGTATTCCTTCCATCTTCTTTTGGTGTTTCCTGCATCATTCAATATATTGCCCTTAGTAGCATAGTGCCTAAGGCACTTGACTGCTAACCAGAAGGCTGGCGGTTCAAACCCACCAGCCACTCCTCGGAAGGAAGGTTGGGCATTCCTACTTCCGTAGTGATACTGCCTCGGAAACCCAAGGAGGGGTCGCTATGAGTCGGGGCTGACTCGATGGCAAATAACAACAACAACAACAAGAATCTTTCAGTATTGCAACTCGAGGCTTAAATTTTTTCTTCAGTTCTTTCAGCTTGAGAAATGCCAAGAGTGTTCTTCCCTTTTGGTTTTTAACTCCAGGTCTTGGCACATTTCATTATAATAATTGACTTTGTCTTGTGGAGCTGCCCTTTGAAATCTTCTGTTCAGCTCTTCTATGTGATCATTTCTTCCATTTGCTTTAGCTATATGCTCCATTGAAGGTCATATTTCAGAGTCTCTTCTGACATCTGTTTTGGTCTTTTCTTCCTTTCCTGTCTTTTTAATGACCTTTTGCTTTCTTTGTGGATGATGTTCTTGATGTCATGCCACAATTCCTCTGGTGTGCAGTCATTGGTGTTCAGTACCTGAAATCTGTTCTTTAGGTGGTCTCTAAATTCAGGAGGGATATAATCAAGGTCATATTTTGCCTCTCGTGGACTTCTTTTAATTGTCTTCAACTTGAACTTGAACTTGCATATGAGCAGTTGATGGTCTGTTCCACAGTCAGCTCCTGGCCTTGTTTGGGCTGGAGATATTGAGCTTCTCCATCGCCTCTTGCCGCAGATGTAGTCAGTCTGATTCCTGTGTACTCCATCTGGCAAAGTCCACATCTATAGTCACCATTTCTGTTGTTGAAAAAAGGTATTCACAATGAATAAGTCACTGGTTTTGTAAAATTCTGTTATGTGATCTCCAGCATTTTTTCTATCACCAAGGCCTTA